GTTGTCGTAGTAGTAGTAGTAGTATAGTAGTAGTAGTAGTAGTAGTAGTAGTAGTAGTAGTAGTAGTAGTAGTAGTAGTACTAGAAGAAGTAGTAGTAGTCGTAGTAGTAGCAATAGTACGAATACTAATAGTAATAAAAGTAGGAGTAGTGGTAGTAGTAGTAGTAGTCGTCATGGTAGTAGTAGTAGTAGCATGGTAGTAGTAGTAGTAGTAGTAGTAGTAGTAGTAGTAGTAGAAGCAGTAGTAGTAGTAGTAGTAGTAGTAGTAGAAGCAGTAGTAGTTGTTTTAATATCAGTTGTCGTTTTGGCAGCAGTCAGCATCGTCGTATTAGTAGTAGTACTACTACTACTACTACTACTACTACTACTACTACCACGACTACTACTGCTACTACTACTACTACTACGACGACTACTACTACTTCTACTACTACTACTACTACTGCCACTACTACCACTACAACAACAACTACTACTACTACTACTACTACTACGACTACGACTACGACTACTACTACTACTACTACTACTACTACTACTACCACTACTACTTCTACGACTACTACTACTACTACTACTACTACTACTACTACTACTACTACTACTATTACTACTGCTACTACTACTACTACTACTACTACTACTACTATTGATTTTTTCTCTAACAGAAATAATTCGCTGAGCAATTAATGCTGTAGCTGTACTGTAGGGTGCTACAGTAAATAATTCGCTGAGCAATTAATGCTGTAGCTGTAGCTGTAGCTGTAGCTGCGACGAAGCTTTCGCGCGGCGTTTTTTTCTGTTTTTGCGACGCCGGGAGGTCTGGGCCAGGAAGGAAAAAGGAGTTAGAAAGGAATTTGATAAGGGATTTCAAGAGTTAGAAAGGAATTCAGTTTTTTTGCGTTAAATTTGTTTTTTTACGACGCCAGGAGGTCTGGGCCGGGGAAGAAAAAGGAGTTAGAAAGGAATTTGATAAGGAATTTCAAGAGTTAGAAAGGAATGTCGTTGTTGGGGTCGTTTTTTTTTTTGCGCGCCGAGAGGTCTGGGCCAGGAAGGAAAAAAAGGAGTTAGAAAGGAAATTGATAAGGAATTTCCAGAGTTAGAAGGGAATTTCGTTTTGGGTGTTGTTTTTAAACAAAAAAGAAACGACGCCGGGAGGTCTGGGCCAGGAAGGAAAAAGGAATTAGAAAGGAATTCAATAAGGAATATCAAGAATTAGAAAGGAATTTCGTTTTTGGTGGTGGTTTTTTGTTTTGTTTTTTACGACGCCGAGAGGTCTGGGCCAGGAAGGAAAAAGGAGTTAGAAAGGAATTTAATAAGGAATTTCAAAAGTTAGAAAGGAATTTCGTTTTTTGGAAATTGTTTTTTGTTTTGTTTTTTTACGACGCCGAGAGGTCTGGGCCAGGAAAGAAAAAGGAGTCAGAAAGGAATTTAATGAGGAATATCAAGAGTTAGAAAGGAATTTCGCTTTTTTGGAGTATTTTTGTTTTGTTCTTTAAAACGACACCGAGAGGTCTGGGCCAGGAAGGAAAAAGGAGTTAGAAAGGAATTTAATAAGGAATTTCAAGAGTTAGAAAGAAATTCATTTTTGGTGGCTGTTTTTTTGTTTTGTTTTTTACGACGCCGGGAGGTCAGGGCCAGGAATGAAAAAAGGAGTTAGAAAGGAATTTATCAAGGAATTTCAAGAGTTAGAAAGAAATTTTGTTTTTTGGGTTGTTTTTTGTTTCATTTTTTACAACGCCGAGAGGTTTGGGCCAGGCAGGAAAAAGGAGTTAGAAAGGAATGTAATAAAGGAGTTTCCAGAGTTAGAAAGGAATTTCGTTTTTGGTGGTGGTTTTTTTTGCATTGTTTTTTACGACGCCGAGAGGTCTGGGCCAGGAAGGAAAAGGAATTAGAAAGGAATTTAATAAGGATTTCCAAGAGTTAGAAAGGAATTTCGTTTTTTTGAAATTGTTTTTTGTTTTGTTTTTTTACGACGCCGAGAGGTCTGGGCCAGGAAGGAAAAATGAATTAGAAGGGAATTTAATAAGGAATTTCAAGAGTTAGAAAGGAATTTCGTTTTTTGGGGCTGTTTTCTGTTTTTTTTACGCGCCGAGGGGTCTGGGCCAGGAAGGAAAAAAGGAGTCAGAAAGGAATTTAATCAGGAATTTCCAGAGTTAAAAAGAAATTTCGTTTTTGGTGTTGTTTTTTTGTTCTGTTTTTTTTCACGACGCCGAGAGGTCTGGGCCAGGAAGGAAAAAGGAGTTAGAAGGGAATTTAATAAGGAATTTCAAGAGTTAGGAAGGAATTTAGTTTTTGGTAGTTGTTTTTTGTTTTGTTTCACGACGCCGAGAGGTCTGGGGTCGTAAATTCCAGACCCAGACCTCTCGGCGTCGTACATAAAAAACAAAACAAAAAAACAACACAGAAACAAAAACAAAATTCCTTTCTAACCCTTGAAATTCCTAATTAAATTCCTTTCTAACTCCTTTTTCCGTCCTGGCCCAAACCTCTCGGCGTCGTAAAAAAAAGCGAAACGAAAAACAACCCCAAAAAACGAAATTCCTTTCTAACTCTTGAAATTTCTTATTAAATCCCTTTCTAACTCATTTTTCCTTCCTGGCCCAGACCTCCCGGCGTCTTAAAAAAGCAAAACAAAAAAAACAACCCCCAAAACGAAATTCCTTGCTTGCTAACTCTTGAATTTCCTTATCAAATTCCTTTCTAACTCGTTTTTTCCTTCCTGGCTCAGACCTCTCGGCGTCGTAAAAACAAAAAAAAACACCAAAACAACCCAAAACATAAAATTCCTTTCTAACTCTTGAATTTCCTTATCGAATTCCTTTCTAACTCCTTTTTCCCTTCCTGGCCCTGGCTTCCTCGGGCAATTCGGACTCGATTGTCTTTGAGGTTCAGAACTATCTCTGGTATTCAAATTCCTTTCTAACTCAGGGAATTCCTTATCGAATTCCTTTCTAACTTCCCAACTCAATAGACATGCATAACCAAAATGCTCTTGGCAATATTTCGAGCCTACATTATTAATTCCCGACACAATTATTGATGTAATTGCATACAGTGCGCACTACAGAAATAATTCCGAAACCAATTAAAGCTGTACTGTAAACAAAAAAATCAATGGTACTACTACTGCTACTACTACTACTACTACTACTACTACTACTACTACTACTACTACTACTACTACTACTACTACTACTACTACTACTACTACTACGACTTCTACTACTACTACTACTACTACTACTACTACTACTACTACTACTACTACTATACTACTACTACTACTACTACTACTACTACTACTACTACTACTACTACTACTACTACTACTACTACGCTACGACTATACTACTGCTTACTATTATACTACTACTGCGACTACTACAATACTACGACGACTACTACTACTACTACTACTACTACTACTAATACTACTACTACTACTACTACTACCACTACTACTGCTAGTCGTGGTAATAATAATAGTAGTAGTAGTCGTCGTAGTAGTCGTGGTAGTCGTAGTAGTAGCAGTCGTAGTAGTCGTTGTCGTAGTAGTCGTAGTCGTAGTAGTAGCAGGAAGAGGTTGAGAAGGAAGTCGCCCCCAGGGTGGAAAGTTGTGTTGCAGCGGGGCGGGGCCCCGCAGGTCCTTCCCAGGGTGGCGGTCGGCTCTTCCGTGGGCAAGCCCCACCTACCATCCTTACAGCTGCGCGCTGTGCGGCAATGGCGCGGGTCCGCCCTGTTCAACCGTGAGATGGCGACATGTCCAGCCTTGGAGCCTTCAAGCCACCCATCTCTGTCACCCCTAGGGCGTTGATCCGCCCAGCGATGGAACAGGTCCCCTAGCTAGGGAGCCAGTGTCTGCCTCTATGACAAGGGGATGCTACCCCGCTCAATTCACAGGCGGGGAGGCAAGCATCATGCTCTATCGCCTGTACGGTAGGCGGCTATAGGGCTTGCCGTGGAGCACCCCCCCGTCAAGCCGAAGGTGCCGCCCACCAGAGATACCGGCCTCCAGGACACAGCCCGGCGGTGATGTCCTGGAGGTACACCAGACTCTGGGAGAACAATGTTTGCTCTCAGCCTTCACGAGCACGGCTTCAAGGATTGGAGAGCCCATGTGCCCCACCAGACTCGACAGGGTTATGCCGAAGTTCCCAGGAGGCCCCCTGGAGGTGCAATAACTACCTCCCAAACGCCCCCGAGACGCCTCCCACGAGACCTCATCTGCCATCCCCGTAGCCTCCGACCCGCAGCCCAGGCACGCTCTCGGGACATGCCGAAGGCCGTTCGATAGTAAAAGAGCTCCAAGAAGCCCCCAGATGGCGCGCCAAAGAGGCCTTCGGGAGCAACGCGCAACAACCGCCGGTCCCCAAAGGGGCCGGCGGCATGGCGTAAGCCTAAGAACCAGCACGCAGTGCAACGCCCGGGTCCGCGGGGAGGCCAGACCCTGCCGGTCACGCCGACGGCGAGGCGCCCCCCCCCTTTTGCCGGTGCACTGCGAGTTTGCGGCAAGAGCTTGGGGGAGTGCCGCAAGGGAAGCGCCGAGCCAGGACCGCGCCAGGTGAGGGGCAGCTGTAGGGGGGGATTGGCATAGAGGGGGACGCATCGACCTGGAATCGGCGATACATCGCCGATGGATCGGCGATAGGCCTCCAGTGGTGAATCCGCACCCTCCTGGGCAGGTTGGGGCTATCGGGCCCCTATCGGCGATCAATTCGCGCTTGGGGGTTGATGCGTCCCCCCCATGCCTATCCCCCCCTATCGTTGCACCTGATCATCCCAGCGCCCGTGGCCAGCGCCTCCGGTGCCGCCTCTGACGCGCTCCGCGCGCCCACATGGGGGGAGGAGGAGGAGGAGGAGGAGGAGGAGGAGGAGGAGGAGGAGGAGGAGGAGGAGGAGGAGGAGGAGGAGGAGGAGGAGGAGGAGGAGGAGGAGCGATGAGGAGGAGGAGGAGGAGGAGGAGGAGGAGGTGGAGTGGGAGGAGGAGGAGGGGAGGAGGAGGAGGGGAGAAGGAGGAGGAGGTGGAGGTGGAGGTGGAGGTGAGTGGAGGTGGAGGAGGTGGAGGAGGAGGAGGGGAGGAGGGGGAGGAGAGGAGGAGGAGGAGGAGAAGGAGGAGGAGGAGGAGGAGGAGAGGGTGGAGGAGCATGACTTGACTCGAGATCTGTGCCATGGCTCGAGGGGGTCTGGACACGGGGCGCGGAAGGCCAGCACGACGCTACAGCGTGGCCCCCGTGAGGCGGGGCGCGGAGCCAGGGCGCTGCCCGACGGGGCGCGGCGGCCGCCTCGTGCGCGGCGGTGCGTGGGGGGCGAGAGCCGAGGAGCCCCGAGCCCCGAGCGCACCAGCGGTCCGCGCACGGCGCGTGCCACGCCCGGCAAGCGGAATGGCTCCTTCCGGGGGCCGCGGAGGCCGAAGTGCACGGAGGAGGAGGAGGAGGAGGAGGAGGAGGAGGACGAAGGGAGGAGGAGGAGGAGGAAGAGGAGGAGGACGAGGAGGAGGAGCAGCAGCAGGAGGAGCAGGAGGGATCAGGAGGAGCATCACATGGTGACAACAGCCTGCAGCCCGGTGCGGGCAGCCCCCCCCCGCCCCCGGAGGGCCTCCTGCTCAAGGTCAGCGGCCGTGGGGGGCGAGCCGCGGAAGGGCCTCCTCGGGAGGGCGGCCAGGGTTCCAGCTTCGGGGGCGGGGGCGGGGGCGGGCGGGGGCGGGGGGGGGCGGATGCTGGAGGGAGGGAGAAAACAGTATTTTGGACTGCTTGAACTGCCCTGTCAGCACCGAGGCTAGGTCAGGGCGTGCACCCGGGAAGGCCCGCGGCCACGGTTAACAGCGGCCCCGTGGCCCCGTGAAAGGCATGGCCCCGAGCCTCCCCACCAGTGCACGCCCAAAGGGTGGGGGAAGGTGGAAGGTGGGAGGGGGAACGAGGGAGGAGGGAGGGAGTGAGTGAGCGAGCGAGTGAGTGAGTGGGTGGGTGGATGAGTGATTGAGTAGGTGAGTGAATGAGTGAGTGAATAGTGAGTGAGAACAATCGCGATGAGATCCCGCGCCTCCGAGCCGCCCCTCGAGTTCCGTGTCGCCTGCGGCGGCGAAGAAGAAGAAGAACAAGAAGAGAGCGGAGACGATGCGACGCCATTGCGCCAAGCTCGCTCCCTCCTCCTTCACAGTGCGCCCGTAGCTGCCGGCGGGAACGCGGAGGAGGGATTCCTGCTGGGCCCTGGCGACGCGACACGAGCAAGTGCCCCGTGTCCATGTCCAACTTGACTTGCGCTTACGTGCACGTCGTTCATTTCTAATCGTGCTCATTTCTACGTGTGCTCGTTTCGAATTGTTCCTGGCCCCCTAGTGGCCAGGAAGAGGCCCAGGATAGAACAATTAGAAATGAAAGGATCTTGCCCCCCAAAAAAACAAAGAACTTTCGAAGAATTGGAAATGAACAGTGTGTAGACTGCAGAGAGGAGGGGGTTGGTGAGCTCGTTGCCCCCCGGGACCTCCTGCAACCTGCAGCCCGGGACGGACGCCGCCGCTGGAGCCCAGGAAGAGAGCACCGCGAACACCGAGCAGACGTTCGCAGCGGGGTTGAGGCCCAGCGTGCTCCAGCCCACGGCTAAGAAACCCGGTCGAGGGCGCGGTGTGCTCTCCCGATCGCCGCGCCTCGACGAAAACGGGCGCCCGACGACCACGCCCCGGCAGGGGAAGAATCCCGCGTGCAACCTGGGGCCCAGCCACCAAGTGTACCCGCCTGGCTGAAACGCAGCGCATGCTTCTCCGCTGACGTGCGCACGGACAGAGAAGACCGAGTGGAATGCTGAGGGCGAGGCCAACGCCACTACCGTACACGAGCGCCGCGGCACCATGCGCGACCGAGGACAGCGTGCTCGGTTGCACGAGTTGCCCTCTTTCGTGGTCGGGGGGAGCCGAGCAAAAAGTAGGTCGGGATTGCTCGCGCGGCGGGCCCGAAGTTCTCCCCGAGCACCGCGGGGATGCGAAGGCGGCCTCTGGGCGAGCGAGCCAAGAGCCAACAGAGAATGGCTATGGTGACGGAGGGAGGTGGTATTATGTCGGGCGTGTCCCCCTACAGGGGGATTTTCGACGAAAGATCAAAAATACCTCAAAAATACACCAAAAAGGTCAAAACATACTCAAAGAATAATCCCCTGGCTATTTTTGGATGATTTGTTTGATTGTTTTTGTGGTAATTTTAATTTTTTGTCGAAAATCCCCCTGTAGGGGGGCCCGGCTTAAAGGTAGTAGGGAGGGAGGCGTCGTCGTCGGGGTCGTGCGGGGGGGGGGACTCCAGGGGGGCCTCCGGGGGGGGGTGGGGCGGAGGATCCTGGTGACCAGGGCGAGGACCAGGACGATGGCCAGCACGCACCAGGCGAGCAGGATCCCCATGGCGAGGTGAAGGCGACTCAGATGCCAGGGGTTCTCCTCGATCAAGCCGAACAGGTACATCCACATTTGCGGGTACTGTTCCCGCGTGTGCTGGATCAGGTCGTGCAGGGCGGGGTCCCCTTCCAGGCTGTGAACTCTGAACAGGCCGAGGCCGACCTTTAGACGACCCAAGCTGATTCACGGCCTGATCCACACCCAGACACTCCGAGACGACGTGAGTTTTTAAAGATGCACTACTCACGACGCCCAAGGGCGAGGTCTTTGGAGGTAGGTCCCGGGAAGCCCGCGGAATCCCCAGGATGCCCCAAATACCAAAAGCGTCCCTGCTCTGAGGCGGACCTTGATCCACGATCCTCCCCACTCCTCTCCGAACCTCGGTCATCCTCCTGCCCCCATCCTCCTCCTCTCCGAACCTCGATCATCCTTCAGCCTCGAACCCTCCTCCTCCTCCGAGGCGGATCCCGATGCATGAGTCTCCCTTGAACCTCGCGCCTCGGATCCTACCTCCGAGACTGATCCTGATCCAGCCGGCCAAGTCAACACAACGTAGCGCTGTCCGATCGCCGCCCCCAGACCTCGCTGGCAAAAGAGGGACCGGCCAGGCGGGAGGCACGATCCAGCCCTGATCCACCTCCGCCGCCGCCTCTTCCTCCTGTCCTCGTCACCTATCCTCCATCCCGAGATTCTCCTCCTCCTCCTCCTCCTCCTCCCCCTCCTCCCCCAACCGTCCTCCTCCTCCTCCTCCTCCTCATCATCCCTCTTCCTCATCCACGAACCGCCTTGGGGGCCCCGAAGAAAAAACTGATCCTCTTCCTCCTCCCCTTTCTCCTCACGTCTGATCCCATCTCGTTATCCCCATCCCCATCCTTCACCTCCTCCTCCTCCTCCTCCTCCTCCTCCTCTTATCCATGGTCTTCTCGATTGGACTGCTCCCCATACGTAGTCCCTGTGTGTCCTCTAGCCACTAGTCTAATTTCTCCTCCCCTCGGCATCTTCCGACTCCTCCTCCTCCTCCTCCTCCTCCTCCTCCTCCTTCCCCGTTCTCGTTCTCCTCCCCCGTTATCCCCTTTCTCATGTTATCGATCCTCCGTTTCATCCTACCCTCCTCCGCCAGTTCCTCCTCTCCTTTCTCCTCCGCCCCCTCCTCATCCTCCTCCTCATTATCCTCCTCCTCATCATCAGCATCATCATCACCATCATCATCATCATCATCATCATCATCATCATCATCAGCATCAGCATCATCATCAACATCATCACCATCATCAACAACATCATCAGCACCATCCTTACCATCATCCTCATCATCATCATCATCCTCCTCATCATCCTCATCAGCATGATCATCATCATTGTCATCATCGCCACCATTGCATCGCCTTTGCCATCCTCATCATCATCAACATAGTCCTCGTCATCATCGTAATCATCATCCGAAACATGATCACCATCATATCCAGTACCAACATCGACATCGGCATCAGCATCATCAACAGCATCAGCATCAGCATCATCATCAGCAGCATCATCATCTGCATCGTCATCGTCATCATCAGCATCATCGTCACCATCAATAGCATCATCATCACAAGTATCATCAACATCATCATCGTCATCATCATCGTCACCAGCACCATCAGCATCAGCATCACCATCAGCACCATCAACATCGCCATAATAATCACAATCATAGTCATCATCACCAGCATCCTCTGCATCATCTTCATCATCTTAAGCCACTAATAGCAGGCTATGCAGCATCAACAGCAGAATCGTCATCGACATCATCATAAGCACCGTCATCGCAAACACCATCATAAGCATCAGCACCATCATCAGTATCATCATTACCCTCATCATCAACATCGCTATCGCCATCACCATCATCATGATCGCCACCACCACCACCATCACATCATCAGCACCATCGTCGCCGTCGTCATCATCAGCATCAGCATCATCACCACGTCATCATCATTGCCATCATCAGCATCACCACCATCATCAGCATCATCATAATCAGCATCACCATCATCATCATCATCATCATCATCATCATCATCATCATCATCATCATCATCATCATCACCGCCATCCTCATAATACATGTATTTCCGATCCCCTGAGATTGCCAGCAAAGCGCTGTAGAGTCTAACCTCCTCCTCCTCCTCCTCCTCCTCCTCCTCCTCCTCCTCCTCCTCCTCCTCCTCCTCCTCCTACCTTGTTCCCGCGTTTCCTCCTCCTCCTCCTCGTCCTCCTCCTCATCCTACCTTTTTTTCCTTCTCCTCCTCATCCTCCTCCTCCTCCTCCTCCTCGTCCTCCTAAAGACCTCTCAATAGGGGGTAACGACTTATTTTCGCGGCGGCCTTATTGAATGACTGGGGCCCCACCAATTAGGGGGAAAGAAGTTAGTGTTTACCTCGCGTCATCCCTAACATCCCTAAGGAGGAGGAGGAGTAGGAGGAGGAGGAGAAGGAAGGAGGAGGAGGGAGGAGGGAGGAGGACGCTTTAGGAGCAGTCCTATTCACCGCCGAGAGAAAAGGGGGGGAACCAAAACTAAAGACCTTCAGCGGTTACCTCGTTCCTCCTCCTCCTCCTCCCCCTTGTGGCCCTCGGTCCTCCGTCCCCGCAGGTCCTTGGACCCCAGAGGGCCTCCGCAGTCCAGACGCCTCCAGAAGCATCTGGGGCCTGTGGGGGCCTTTGGCGGCCTCCAGAAACTCTGGCCTCCAGAGGCTCCAGCTGTCAAAAGAGGATCCGCAGCAGCAAACAAAACAAGACAACTCCTCGATGGACTCGATCGTCCCTCCGGCTCCTCTTCATGCTCCTCCTGCTCTTTCCCCTGCTCCTCCCCCAGCTCGTGCCCCCACGCCCGAGGCGCCGACGCCATTCCGGATCTCGAGCCCCACGGTGAACAGAACCGCCAGCCAGAGCGTGCAGGGGACCACCTCCCAGGGGAGGCTCGGAAATCCCCCCACACACCGATGTGATATGTGTCTATGTGAATGCATACATGCTGAAAAATAAAAGTATGCATGAGTGTATGTATGTATATATCTATATGTGTGTATCCTGCTGTGCGCCCTCTTTGCTCTTAGGCCAGACGTGCGATGTCGTATTGACTAAAACTGCCCTGCGTTTCCAAGCGCCCAACAAGCTCATAGCTGAGTTTCACACAGACCACTCTTTAACAAACTGTGATACCCATCGTGCTCGCACCCGAGGTTACAGGCGAGGAGGTCGAAGCGGGAGTCTTTTGAGCCCCATGGGAACAGACAGCGCAAAGAACAAGGAAGCTGAATCGACTCAGGAAGCTTCGCTGCACCCCTTGTTGAATGACGGCCCCACAAGAACCTCCTTTGCGCAGAGCTACGAATACACAGGTCATCTCACAAGCTGCTGTGCGCATTTTTGTAAATTTAGGACAAACGCGAGATGCCACTGAATCCTGACACGATACCAGCGGCCAGGGGCATTGGGCAGCTCTCAGCGATGTGATTTCTGAAAACGCCGTTCAGCTAACCAGACAAGTCTGCGTGAAGCAAGCCTGACTTCGAGCAAATGCATCTTCCCTGGCACATACGTTGGCACGTGGACAGGTCAATATCATGCCCAACGGATTGAATTTTCTCATGGGGCCTGAACAACTACGCGGTCTGGAAGCTCAGGATGCCGTGCACCGAAAGAAACAACAGATTTACAGGCGGCGTGCGCCTGGGTTCTACATGACACAAGGTACGTATGACCAGTCGCGAGATGAAGAACTCAACACGAGAAACGCATTATGATGTTGCGAACATTTACCTCATGCCCGTCAACCGCCGCCAGCCCGGGAAGCCCCATGGGCGCTTGGTCGCCGCGAAGGCGAGGAGGACCGTGGGGGCGGCCTCGGGTTTTGGAAAAGCTCCCACAAGGCGTCCCAAGCCACGCGGCTAATTACCACCTGCAAGCCCAGGATCCAACCACGCAGTTGCTTTTGGACGCGCGTGAGCGTGGCATCGCACGCCTTGCCGTGCTTGACATCGAATCCGATGATTGGTGCATTGACCTGCTGTCTCCACGCTTGAGGGAAATGACTACTACCCGAGAGCATGTCGACGGCGACGGACAACAAGAAGCGATTGGACTTCAGGAAGGCGAGGGCACGAAGATAATGCTGCCAGTCTGATCGGCGGAAATGGCGGCTGTCTGTCGAGCGCCGGACTCGAATAACTGAACGCACTCGGCGAGCGGTCTAGCCATCTGTCACCTTGTCAACTGGCTTGGCGCCGTCCAATCTCCGTGCTACCGGATCTCGATCGTGGCCCGCCCCCGCCAGCCGGCTTTGGCGTCGCTGCAGCGGGGCCGAGGAGGCAGACCGCGCAGGCCAGCTGACTGCGCAGGCTGGGGAAGGCCCCCCCGTAAATACTAGAGCTCGAACTCGACGACCTGGCCCGCCGTCGGCCCTCCCCTCGCCGCGGTCGGGCGCGCCCGGTCCCGGGCCCAGCCGTCGGACGCCGTCCCCCGGCGCTTCGAGCCCTCGGCGCGGCGCGCTCGTCCCGCGGGCAGCCCGCGGCTCCCCGCCGGCGCAAGGCGCCGCGGCCCCGCGGCTCCACGCCGGCCCCTGCCGCGGCAGCCCGCAGCGCGCTGCTCCCCCGATGGTCCGCCTCGACGGCGCCCGCGCCGGCGCCGCCGCCGCGGGGCCCGCGCCCCGGGCGGCGGCGGCGCGCGCCGCCCTCGCCGGGGGGCCGTCGGCGAGGCAGTCCCGCGCGTCGCAGCGAGCGTGGCCGCCCCTCGCGGGCCGCCGGGCCCGGGCTCGCGAGCGAGGCCTCGCCGCGAGGGGCGGGGGGGCGCTCGCCGAGGGGGCGCTCGCTCGGCGCCCGGCGCGTCGCGGCAGCGCAGCGAGGCGCCGGCAGCAAGGGAAGCCCATGCCCGATCTGCCCCGAGCACTCGGGGGGCCGCGCTCCGCCCCGCGGAGAGAGCCGACGCAGCAAGCATCGAAACGGACGAGAGGATGAGAGGCCACTCACCCCCCAAATCTGCGACTCTGCCACTGGCGTCGGGGCCCCCACCACAGCGTCGAGCCGGCCTCCGAGACTGGCGCACCCTCTGGGCGACTCCAGAGAGAACGCGGCCCAGGTCCCCCTTCCGCGAGCCTCTCGAAGACGAGCGGGGCCCCGCCCCGAGCCCCAGGGCCCCGCTCCGCCTCGCCGCCCCGAGCGCCCTACAGCTTGGCATTGACCTCTTGGCGTCCCTGATCCACGCGAAGTCGCTTGGCCCCCTCAATCCAGCTAGCGGCTCGCTCGCGCGCCGCGGTGCGCCATCCGAGTACTTCATGGCACGACTGATGCCCCCCCTCGCCCCCCCCCCCCCCCCCCCCCCCGCGACAGCGGCCCCGCCACCGGAGCTCGTCTAGCACAACGCCCAGACTGGTGATCGCGCACATCCACGCGCCACGACGAGGGCACCGACGGCGTTGAAGCAACTCAGCAACTGACGTCGCAGAACAAATACGCGCGCGCAGTCACCGACCAGGATACAGCGGGGGCCAGTCCGCAAGAAACCTTCCACGAGAAACTCAACCCTGAGACCCCAGGACGTCCCTGGAGCTTTGGCGCGAGACCGTCGCGCCCCATCGCAAAACCACCAAAATCCCAAGAAACCCAGGGCGCCCTGGAGGCGAGCAGGTTGTTTCGCGGCATGGGCCCCCACTGCGCCCACGCATTTTCTCGACAGCGCCGGGCGCGCCCCAGACTGGGCCGAGCGAATCCCCCGCGCACCGCGCTCTTGAGCGCGCGCCACTGGCCGCCCGCTCAAGAAAAAACAGCCCCAGGACGGGCACGTCCAAAGTTGTTAAAGATAATGAAACATGCTCAAACTGGGCAAGACAGACAGACAAATCGCCACACTCACACACACACACACACAAACACACACACACACACGCACACGCACACGCACACGCACACGCACACGCACACGCACACGCACACGCACACGCACACGCACACGCACACGCACACGCACACGCACGCACGCACACGCACACGCACACGCACACGCACACGCACACGCACACGCACACGCACACGCACACACACACACACACACACGGACACGATCTTTTGCAGATGTTTGCACACTCCTCCTGCACAGGGGCACGGCCGACTTGACGACAGCCCCCTCTCCGGGACCGGCGCGCGCAGCCTGGCGAGACGCAGCTCCTGCGCCCCCTCCCCGCCCCTCCCCCCCCCTCGGCCACGGCGCGGGACACCCGGGGAACTTGCGGCAGGCCCAGAGAACTCTCGCGACGCACTCGGCGCGAGCCGCGGGGGCGCGACCCCGGGGGGGCCCGACGGCCCTGGGCCATCAACGCGCAGTCGGCGCGGGCCGCAGGGGCGCGACCCGATGGGGGGCCGACGGCCCCGAGCTCTGGCCCGGGGCCGGGAAGCGGGGTGAGGTACATCCCCCCGCGCGGTCCGGCCCCAGCTGGGAGCGCGGGCCCAGCCCCGGGGCCCGCGCGCAGAAACGAGAGACAGCGAGTCCCCGATGAGACCTCGGAGCCCTCGACAACACTCGCAACTCCGACACTGCCGGCTCGCGCACGGGGAGAAGCCCGAACTAGGGGCGGAGCTCGAGCGGCATATAGCCAGCTGGTAGAGCGCAGGGAGGTCGCCTTGCCCCACCTCGATCGCCACATCGGCGACGGCAAAGACATGCGAACAGAGCCTCCGGAGGCCAGGCGGTCTTGGGCGGGCCCCCGAGCCGGCAGCTCGACCTCCGGGCGCCAAAGTGGTCAAGCGTGGCTCTCCGCTCTTTTTCCACGCGCCGAACAGCGCGCCACTTCGAAGATGTGCTCAACCACTCCCCGGCCAGCCATCGCTCCCAGGAGACGCCCGCGCTCTTCTAGCGGGCGGCGCAGGAGAGGATCTTAACAGGGGCGGCGCGGGGCGGGCCCCCTGGAAGCCCGGGCGCACCACCCCCCCAGCCACCCCGACCCCCCCGCAGCGGAAACGCGCCCGCGGGGCCGCGGGCCCCAGCGCAAACATCGCTCGGCAAGCGGGTGAGATCGACGGGCTGGTCGACGCCGCCGAGGCTGAGCCAGTCGGGGACTGGGGCCTCCCGACGGCCTCCCTGGAAATCTCGGAGGCACCTTTTTCAACCGTCTCGGAGGGCCCCCCGGGCCTCTTGCAGCGCCTCGGGGGCCGACTGGCGCCATCCCTGGCCCTCCCAGAGCCATCCTGGAGGCCATCCCGGGCCCTCCCAAAGCCCCATCGCGGAGGTCATCTTAAGGGCCCTCGGAGGCCCCGATGCCCGCCGCGCTTGGCCCGGCGCTCCTCTGGGAGGCCCCCCCCCCCCCCCGAGCGGGCGCGCTCGGCGGGCGGCCGCCCCCGCCGCGCGGCGCCGGCCCGTGCGCCGGCCGCGCCGAGGTCGCGCGCGAGGGCCCTGGAGCGCTGCGCGGGTAGGGGGCCACCTGCCCCTACCCACACCACGATTTCTGAGGGGGAGGGTGGGGCTCACTCCGTTCGAGAGCTCCCGAGCGAAGCGAACCCCACCCTCCCCCTCAGAAATCGTGGTAGGGGTAGGGGCAGGGTTCGCACGTGGCCCCCTAGTGGGGCGCCGCTCGGCTCACGCAGGGGCGCGGCCGCGCCCGCGCACCGCTGAGCGGCGCGCCGCCGGGCCTCGGCGCGCCCCTCTGAAAAACCCCGCGGCGGGCGCTGCGCTCGGCCACCGCGGGCGGGCCGCCGAGGCCCGCGGCGCAGAGAGCGCGAAGGCGCGCCCCGCCGGCAGGTTGGCAGAGGTCGCGCCGCCGTGCTGCCGCCCCGCCGACCAAGAAGCACATCGACGAGACATCGATGCCAGACTTTGTAACAGTGCATTTTCCTGGCTTCACGTATGCTCCCGCAACTGGGCGACACATTTCAACCCGCCCGCGGGGCCGACGGGGAGGGGGCAGCGGCGAGGCGGA